GCTGCAAATCTGGTGAAATGGGAAACTTTGATCAGACTCAGATGGGAAGAGGTCATCCCACATCGCACCAGAAAGACAAGACTGAATACTGCAGTGATGCTCTGAACTGGTGATGAAAGGTACAAAAGCGCACTCAACATGCACTTGACCACAGTCTTCATCATGATGACCACAACTCATGCATGCTAAAGTACTCTAAACCCTTGAAAACATAATCCCACCCTAATAACACTGCACATGCAGAGAATTACACACCAATCTACAACCATTAAATATCACATTTAAGAAAATATGCTCAAATAGCACCACATTTTGGACACTTTGCAGGGCTGTAACCACAAAAGACACTGTCCCCCTCATTTGTCCCCTTTGCGTTCAATGAATTGTCCCAATTTTAAAAATAGTGGTCAACCAGTATGTGGTCTGATTTTTAAATTTTAAATTTGATTCCCATAATCTTTTGCTTTTAAGTTAATTGGTTTAAGGCATTTGGTGCTCAAAAGCACCTTTTTTAGGGTCCTTTAAGGAGAATAGTGCAAGAACGAAACCCCTAAACCCCAAAACAAAGAGGCATTACAGCACACAAGGCTCTTTAGGCAAAAAATAGCTTTAAACCCTATTTTAGACTCATATCTCTGTGTATTTGTATAACGCAGTGTATAGATTACTTATTGTGAATTATTATGCACTATATGCACACCGTATCTGTTGCACTGCGATATTCCTCGTGGGGTTTATAAAGTGCCCATCTAGCCATCATGTTAGAAGTGTAACTCACCGATTTGAACACTGCTGGGAAAAGCCCCTTCACTGAGTCCCCACAGCAGCGGAATCAACACCAGGATCCGCATTCTGTCCGAATCAGAACCCGTCTGGACTCATGGATGGATGGATGGAGACGAGATAGTGAGACGGGAGAGAAATGAAAGGAAATAAATGGGTAATCTCGCGAAGGGAGTTTCAGCAATCCATCCTACAGGAAATCCGTGTGTTCCCCGCAGTATCCACTGGAGAGAGAAGAAGAAGAATCTGTCCGGATGAACGCGCGAGGGTGTGTGTGTGTGTGTGTGTGTGTGTGTGTGTGAGAGAGAGAGAGAGAGAGAGATGCGGGCTCACTCCTTTGCCTTTGAGGTCTTCGGCTTTTAAGCTGTGTTTGCTGAGGCAAGTACCGCTGTTACAACTGCTCATACGGCTAGATATTTAAACAAACCCCTAAGCATACCAATTAAACTTGAGCTTATAAATCATCCCGCACTGTTTGTGCTCCAGACGTAAATGATTTTCCTCAAACCATGTGTCTTTACTACACGCGCCTTTACTTATAGAGTGACCAGACGCATCGTTTTCACCTGCTGGACCAGAAGACAATCCCACAGGAGCATATTGAAGGAGAGACCCCAGCCACAAACAGAATATCAAAGTGTGACTTGAGGGTTGATTTATTGGACTGGAAACCAACATCATAGCGACCACACAGCAACACTAAAACACTCACTTACGATAAATTGAAAAGTTTGTAATATTCCTAGAAAAGAAAAAAAACATTAAATGCAATATTAATATATATTTAAGATTAATTAGATGTAATAATATATATATATATATATATATATATATATATATATATATATATATAAATTAAATTTTAAGATTTTCAATGACGTTTCAAAGAAATAAAATGTAACCGCATATATATTTCAAAAACATTACATGTACATTTTTAAGATTCATTCAATTGAGTGATCTTCAGAAACTTTTTTAAAAATTTAATTTTTCTTATTATATAATATAATTATTATATAAATGAAAATAATTATTATATTAACTATTACGTGTTTAAAAAAAAAACTAATGTTTTTTTTTACTATTTGATTAATTATTGAATGCTTTTAAATAGATTTTTATTTATCGGACTCAATCTGAGCGAATCACCCAGTAACCGCTTAGCAACGCCCTGAGATACCGCCTTGTATCCCCATTCATGAAGCCGCTCGCCTCTTTTATCAAGTCGGGCGCCGCATATCCGTTGCATTAATACGTTTCACTGATAAGAGCACGAGCTGAGCTGCTGAATATAAATATGTCGCTCATGCAAGACGCGCGTTCTTTGCAAACATTTTCAAACATGCACTAGATGTTCGTCTTTAACCCTTGCGGCGCGTTTCGCACCTTGTTTTTATCATGGCGTTTCACGTTAAAAACCGTTCAACTCTTACAAACGCGCCGCGAGCCCCCTGCGTTCAGTTCCGTCCCAGCGCGCTGCGTCTGTCTACTTTTTGAACGCAAGAACGCGTCCCGCGTGCGTTCTTTACAGACACAGAAACATGGTGTTCAGGGGTTAGTGCACACTACTTCACTCTCCTTCTGTTCTCTTCTTATGTCTTTCTCTTGCTTGCAACACAATATGAGCCACATTTTATTTTCAGCTTCAGTAAGGCTGAACAGAATAGAACAGTGTATCAGTGTACAGTAGAAGAGAATAGAACAGAATATAGAAAAGTATAATAGAATGGCATTGTATAGAGTATAATATAATAGAATGTAACAGTGTACAGTAGAATAGAATAGAGCAGAACAAAGAACAGTAGAACTGAACAGAGTTATACAAAAAATAAAATAACAGAACAGTGTACAGTAGAATAGAATATAAATAAATAAAGAACAGGTGAATAGAATGGAGTTATAGAGAAGAATAGAATGGAACTGTGTACAGTAGAATAGAATACACTAGAACAGAATACAGAACAGTAGAATAGTGTGGAGTTGTATAGAGAATAATGGAATGGAATAGTGTACTGTATAATAAAATATAATAGAACAGAATAGAGAACAGAATTGAATGGAGCTATATAGAGAATAATAGAACCGAAGAGTGTATGGAAGAATCGGATATATAGAACAGTAGAATAGAGTGGAACTGTATAAAGAATAATGGAATAGAACAATGTACAGTAGAATAGAATATAATAGAAGAATAGAGAATGGAACTGAATGGAGTTATATAGAGAATAATGGAACATTGTACAGTAGAATAGAACATAATAGATCAGAATATAGAACAGTATAATAGAATGGAGCTATAGAGAATAACAACAGAACAGTGAACAGGAGAATAGAATATAGTAGAACAGAATAGTAAAATAGAATGGAATTATACAGAGAATAATAGAACAGAACAGAATAAGAACAGTAGAATATAATGGAGTTATATAAAGAATTTTAGAATAGAACAGTGTACAGTATAATATAATAGAATTGAGGAGAGTAGAATATAATAGAACCGAAGAGTCTCTCTCTCTATATATGAAACAGAGTAGAAAAATTAATAAAATAAAGTGTAAAAAAAAATAACCGTTGAACCGTTTTAGATGTTACACATGATGCACATATAGCTAGCTTATAACAGAATAGAGTAGAATATAATATAATACAAGGATATAGAATTTTACAGTGTATAATAAAACAGGATAGCAAATTTTACAAGTGCAAACACCCTGGAGGTGCAGTGACACTTAGCATGCAATGTAGTGTAAACACAAAGTACAGTGTAAATGGTATTTGTGCAGGTAAAGAGCTCTCTCTCTCTCTCTCTCTCTTGTCCTCTGACAGAAAACTCTGCCGCCGGAGTATTTGCACGTACAGCCCATAAATCCATTAGGCCGCAGCAGCCAGGATCAGTTTCTCCTCAGCGTTCACCTCTCTAAAAAGGTACCCTCACATATTTATATATTCTCCGGTTAATATACGAGTTGCCGTTTTTCTGCTTTATGACATTTGGCTCGTTTCTGCGGCGTGGGTCTCCACGTGGCCACGCGTCAGGCCGCAGCTGTGTCTTATATTGCCCATTCATAATCGTTACGGCCTCCGGTGGCGCTGACAGACGGATTGTGGAGGCTCCCTCTGTTTCTTTAGAGACTTAAATGACTGAAAATTGTCTCTTGAATGGTTAGATGGTGAGAATATGGTGTATGGTTGCTGTAATCATTAAGAGGAATCAGTGAAGGGTTAGTGTGTGTAATAGTGTGTGATTGTTGCTGTCCGTGGTGCTGAAGCTGGACAGACACTATGTGGAACCACTTGCTTTTTAAATAATAATGAGTTAGTAAAGAAATACATTTTTAAAATTTATTTAATTATGTATTATATTTATTATTCTGTAACTGTAAATATGCAATATTATTTTTCTAAATTAACTAAATATTCTGTTCAACTACTTGCAGGAGTTTTGTAACTTTTCATTACCATAAAAACACACTGTTTTTGAATTCTCTTTTGCTCACCAAGTCTGCATTTATTTCATCAAAACATCCATTAAAAACAGTAATATTGTTAAATATTATTACGATTTCAAATAACTGATTTCTGTGTGAATATATTGTAAAATGTAATTTATTTCTGTGCTCAAAGCTGTATTTTCAGCATCATTACTCCAGTCTTCAGTGTCACATGATCTTCAGAAATCATTCTAATATGCTGATTTGCTGCTCAAGAAACATTTCTGATTATTATCAATGTTGAAAACAATTGTGCTGCTGAATATGTTTGTGGAAACTCATTTCAGGATTCTTTGATAAATAGAAAGTTTAAAAGAACAACATTTATTTGAAATAGAAATCTTTTGTAACATAAATGTCTCTACTGTCACTTTTGATCAATTTAATTTACCTTTGCTGAATAAAAGTATTAATTGCTTTAAAAAAATCCTTCTGACAGCAAAGATTTGAACAGTAGTATATACTAAATAAATGTATGAATACAAATTTTTGTGTGCAAAATTTCAAATACATTTAAAAGAATACATTGTTTAATGTTTTCATTGTACAAAAGTCAAAACTAATTATAAATATAAATAATCAGATATTTTTTAATGATTACTTTTCTAGTTACAATTAAATATGTATTTTATATTTTGCTTACAGCATATATTTTTCTTTAGACTATTAGAGTGTCAGACTCTGTTCCATGTTTTGTGTGTGTCCTGCTCCCCATGTGCCTTCCCATGCCCGGCGTCTCCTCGTTCCTCGTTTGTGTGCATCGTGACAGAACAGCGGACCAAAACTGAAAGTGAGCGGCGACTTCTCCTTGCGTTTGTTTTTCCCCTTTTTTGAAAGTTTTTGTTTCCTGGTTCACCCAGAACCCCCGGACGTAAATGTGGCAAGCCCGAAGGACGTAAATGTGGCAAGCCCGAAGGACGTAAATGTGGCAAGCCCGAAGGACGGGAGGGCTCCAGATCCCCCGTTCCGCCCAGGGAGGGCTCCAGGCCCCATTAATTTCCCCAAGTATTTTTTTTGGGGGGGTAGTATGGCTCCAGCTGTAGAGGCTGAGGCGGGGGCCGGGGCCGCGGCCTCGGAGGCTGCTCCGCCATGGCCTCCCGAGTCCCCTGCTCCGCCATGGCCTCCCGAAGAGTAGTGTTACATGTATAGACCTGTACTTTCTATTAAAAAAGTACATTAAAAATCATAAAATTACAGAATACTGTGGTAAAACTTAAAACCTTTGTGTAATGCATTATAAAGGTATTCATAATGTGCATTTGTAATGCATTATATCTTTTCATGAATAATTGTAACAATTATAATTGTTTGTTTGTCATGTGTTTTAATGCATTATACTTTCTAAGGTGTAACAATGCATTATAAGTGTGGTTACAATTATTCATACAATGCATTATAAGGTGCATTGCAAGGCATAATTAATGCATTAAAATTACTTTTATAATTAATGTAGTAAAGTGTTACTAATATTACCTCAAAGTTACAGTATGTTATCATAGTGCACTAAAGTTTTATTTAGAGAGATGAATGGAAAGTTGAATCCTCCTGATGTCGGAGCACTCGAGGTGTTGTGTCTCTCGGTGAGCTCTTGTGAAGTGGTGTATAGTATCTCTGTCTATGAGGCATTACTTTAATGACTCTCTCAGTGAGGTGTAATGACTCTCTCGCTCTCAATGTCTAATGGCCCTCCTGAGATGTTATTAAAGAACTGGATGGCTCTGATTTTAGGGGCATTTCTTTTTACCGCTGTTGATCATGTATTTCAT